AATCCAGTATGAATCTGCAGTGTGGGTAGTTAATAAAGCCTGACAGTAATAATTGTGGAGTGATTTTAATCCAGTATGAATCTGCAGCGTGGGTAGTTTTTACAGTCTGACAGTAATAATTGTGGAGTGATTTTAATCCAGTATGAATTTATAGTGTGTGTAATGTTAACAGTGTGACAGTAATACTTTAAAGCGTTTTTTTACAGTCTAACAGTAATGACTTTGGAGTAAATGGTCTTCTGTACTTGGCTGGACCTGAAGCTCCCTCAGTAATAACCGTTTTGTTCCAATCTACCTCACACTTATGCGATAACAAAACCTGCTAATAGACACAATGTATTGTTATTGTTATTGAATTTTTCCTGTGGTGTAACTGTGGGAACTTTGGGGAAATGACACAGATCTGTTATGCTGTACAATCAATTACTCAAACCCTACAAATTACATCGCAGAACAAAAAGTGAAACGTGGACAGTGTGAACTCGTTGCTTAGATTAGGCAAAGACGAAGAGCCGTGTTAACATTGGTGAGGTGTTTCAACAGTGGAGGGACCTCTAAAAGTTCATGATGCTGAAGTTGGCTTCCTATTCACATTTTACCATTCCACCTTAAATCATGCAGCAGTTCCATTCTGGCGTCTACGGTGCTTGAATGTGACTGCTGCACCATTCGAACAAGAAGCTGAGGTGCCGGAATGTAACTGCCTCACCATTTAAGGTGGAACGGGAAAATTTGAACAAGAAGCTGATGAGAAAGAAGGTGACTTCAGCCTCACCTAGAGTTGAAAGGCATAAAAAATGGATGAGGAGGCTGTTCTGTTTCTGCTTGACTGGTGGGTAACATTAACCCATTTTTGCTGTTTCACAGAACCAATAGGTCGGTAGTGTTTTGTCCTGTTTGCTAATGTTTGTGATAGCAGCAGCAATTGTAGCAACAGTTTACTAACCCACAGCCTGGCTAATGCTAGTTGTATAACTTGCTGTGTCGTTTTTCACAACGTTTGCGATGGGTTTTATGAAGATCTAAAATTTTGCTATCCTAGTGTTGTTCACCATGGCAATGCGCATCCATTAATTTGGTGGGCGGAGCTTCTGAAGGAGCACTGATGGGAGGGGGGATTTGTTTTTCTGTTGAGTTCAAATATTAACGGCTGTTCTCCAGAATTGTATACTGGGCCTTTAAGCCCTAATTCAACCACCAAAAAAGGCAGTTCTCCTTCAAACACCCTTTGTCTACATCAAGGGTTCTTGGTTCCAGTCTCAAAGATGTTCCCATGCTCTCTAACACCTGATTCAGCTCATAAAGAGCTTGATAATGAGCTGATGAGTTGAATCAGGTGTGTTGTAGTGAGGAAAAACACTTACAGTGCAGGTCTATGGCTTCTGGGACCGGAGCCTTACAACCCTCTCAAGCTGACATCATATTCACTCCATCAATGCACAGTTAACTGTAGAGTGTGTTTGTACATTCTTTAAAAAGACGGTTTTTCAAGGGTTATTTAGTAAGGAAAATGGTTCTATACAGAATCATAAACACTCAAAGAACCATTTACATGATTAAAGGGTATTTTGCATCATGAAAAGGTCCTTCAGATTGTTGGAGAATGTGTTGTAGATGGTTCTATATAGAACCTTTTTAAAGAAGGGTTCTATATAGCAGCAAAAAGGGTTCTGCCACTGTTACGATACAAGCTTGTAAGAATAGAAGAATCCTTTTTGGTGCTATATAGAACCCTTTTCAAAAAGGTTCTAGATAGAACCATCTACGACACATTCTCCAACAATATAAAGAACATTTTCATCATGCAAAGTACCCTTTATTCATGCAAATGTTTATGGTTCTGTATAGAACCATTTTCCTCACTAAAGAACCATTGAAGAACCATCTCTTTTAAGAGTAAAGGAAAACAGTGATTGTTTTACTGTAAAGCAGGGGTGTCAGACTCAACCACTAAAGGGGCTATATTAAAAATCTCAACAAATCTGTGGGCCAGAAAAAAACTGTTTTTATTTCATTTTTGATTAATGTTGTGCTGCAACCCGAACTGGCCATTGTTTATTCAAATTACACAAGAACCTCAGCAGTAAAATACAGACATTTGTAGTAAACCTTGAAATATTACATGAATATGTGAAATAGTCAAAATGTATAAACCTGCCCATTTGCTTGAACTAGACCTCTGGCATCTTTTCTTTGCTTCTGAGCTGCTGAGCTGACATTAGATGTTTATATTGGTTAAACTGCGGCTGAAATGCAGTTAGTGTGTTTTTTGATATGACTGGTGTGGAATTATGTAGAATTGTGTAGAGGTGTAACCGCTGTCCCCCTAGACTGTTGTTGGGGCAGGAGAGTCAGATCATTACATTGCAGTGCACGCTGGGGACTGTAGTGCAGCGCATTGTGAAACTGTAGTGCAGTGCGTTGTGAAGGGTAATATTAATAGAAAATTAAAATACCTTTGCGGGCCAGATAGGATCATGTCCGTGGGCTGATCTGGCCCGCGGGCCTTGTGTTTGACACATGGGCTGTAAAGGATCAGGTGTGAAAAACACCTTTTTGGACTCTTCTTTCATACAGGACTCTACATACGTGTATATCTTCCTCATATTGCGCTGCACACAGTCATGTCTCATTTGCACTTATTGGTATTATGCTTTAACATAAAGCAGCATCCATTAATCTGTTTCTTAATAAAAATCTTTACACATGAGCCCCTGCTCCAATCATATCGAATGACATCTCTATTGTCTATTTTGGGATTTGTTGTGATATTGTAGCTGTGTACTTTTTCACTGATATTTATCTGTTTACTGTTTGTATTCTGCATTGTTCATTTACATAAGAACCAATTTCACCAAAGCAAATTTATCACACATGCAAGAGCACTTGGCTAAAAAAAGAGACTCATCCACATTGCTGCCATCGTTTTCACCTCTCAGAACTTAGCCTTTGTATTGTATGATATTGGGGTTCAGTTAAGGATAGGTAAGGCTCAGATTGCTTTGCTTTGCTTTAATCTGCTTTGTTTTCATTTCTAGCCCACTTTTTATGTGCCTTTTTGAATAGTGCTCCTGTGAGAAAAGCTTGTTTGTTCAATGCTAGCTGCGTCTGATAGCTCGTCTTTCCCATGAGTCTGCTGGGCTTGGACTGCTCCTGCTGTATTGGCTCAGATGGCTCTGCTCTGCCTTCGTTTAAAGACATGCATCTTCGTTTCACCATTCTGGCTTCCTCACTTACTTTGATGAACAGAAGGCTAAAGTGGCAGTGACAGCGAGATCACCCTGGTAGTCGTGGCGGTCATGCATGAAAGGACTTACCTGAGATCAATAGCCAGGTTGTAAACAAGCTTTTTTTAACTGCATACGAAATCCAGCCTGACAGTCTATAGACATTTTTTTGAAAATCTGCATAGCTTGAGGATGATTTGTTAATTTATTAGTGAGATGAAAGTGTTTGATTGTTGATCATGAATGTAGATGAGATTGAAGATAAACTTGCTGTTCAGACTTTTTTTTATAAATAAGCATGTTTTTTATAAAAAATACTGCTGTCTCTGATCCACTCGTACCATTGCCACACACACTAACACGCCACCACCACCACGTCAGTGTTACTGCAGTGCTGAGAATGAGCCACCATCCAAATAATACCTGCTCTGTGGTGGTCCTGTGGGGGTCCTGACCACTGAGGAACAGGGTAAAAGAGAGCTAACAAAGTACACAGAGATACAGATGGACTACAGTCTGTAACTGTAGAACTACAAAGTGCACCTATATAGTAAGTGGAGCTGATAAAATGGACAATGAGAGTAGATACAAGGAGGTGGTTTTAATAAATAAACAAATGTGTAAGTGCTTACTGATCCAAACTGCACTTTAAATGAGCTTCCAAGAAATCTCAGCACATTAAACAATATAGGAAGCCTTGTGCATCTTTTATACAGTGATAGACTGTGCTAACACATTTCACAGTGGCCAATATGGACATGCATGTAGTGTGACTCCTCTGGCAGCAGATTTAAACACATTTGAGGCCATCCAGGTTCAGTAGGGTTTAAGAACCATCCATTGAAAGTTCTTTGTAGAAGCAAGAGTGGTTCTTCTAAGGCCCATGTGTCAAACACAAGGCCCACGGACCAAGCCAGGCTCATGGCAGAATCCTATTTGGCCCGCAAAATTATTTAAATTTTCTGTTAATATTCTGGCCCACAGATTTCTTGAGATTTTTTAATATGGACCTTTTAGTGGCTGCGTTTGACACCCCTGTTCTAAGGCGTCACTCCAAAGAGCCCTTTTTGGCAAGTTTATTTTTAAGAATATACTTGGAAAATTTCAAAAGAAGACCCAGACTTTTATATGGGCAGTGCATCTGTGCTTTGGAACAGCTTGGTTTAAGAGCAGTGTTTTTAGGTCTGTAAAAGTAAAGCAGAATTAGTCTCAAAGGTCCATGAGCGGCATCTTGCAACCCATCAGTTTTATTCCATCCTGCAGTTCTCTAGCATTCGTTCTGACCTGACCACCCTGCGAACCGCCACTGAACTGGAGCAGAGCTGCCTGGAGTCAAGCTTTTCTGGAGCCGAGTACAGTCCTGCTGAAAGGAGAGAGCCAGGAGCAAGACTGTGTGGGCTGGCCGCTTTGATGCAACTGTCTTAGGCAGCACAACATTGGTGTTTAGGGACAGGAAGGAACTGAGGTTAGGACTGAGGCGTGAATTCTGGTGGGGATCGGTTGGTGGCAAACAAAAAGAAACCATTCAGACGGAGCATGACTAGAATTCAGTTTTAAGAAAAGGGAGATGCTTGCTGGGTGAACTGATGAAAGTGTGGGTTAAATGTATATTGATACCATGGCTTGTTTTCAATCGATGCCTCTACAGTGTTTCGTTTGAGCACAGACTCCACACTGGATGCACAGCACACATGACTTGCCGTGTCATTCAGTCAAAGTCAAGAACAAGGAGCTGACTTGACTCTTTATCTGTGTGTGCGTTTGTTTCTGCAGCACGGATAGTTAAAAGCAGGCAGTGGTGTGAGATGACCCCATGTTCAGAGGGAGAAATCTGTGGGCTGCTGTTGAACCACTCCGGCTGGACCTGCACCAAGGGAGGCGGACGAATAAAAACGGTCACGGTAAGACACTCACTACTGTAGGAAAAGTGCACTTTTTTCACAGTTGATTGTGCTAGATAAATGTGGAAATAGGGGTAAGCAATATGATGATACAGCCATACATAAAAGTGAACATTCTCGGTCAAAATACATGTTTTGTTGACTTTCTAAGTAAAAATAAGTACACATTTTATGCAGGGAACAGACTTACATATGGCACGTGTGGCTTAAATATGACAAAAAATATATTAAATAACTTACATAAGCCAGTGGGTAGCGCTGTCGTCTCACAGCAAGAAGGGCCTGGGTTCGATTCCCCGGTCAGGTAACCAGGGTCCTGCCTGTGTGGAGTTTGCTTGTTCAACCTGTGTATGGGTGGGTTTCCTCCCACAGTCCAAAGACATGCAGTCAGGCTGATTGGATATGCTAAACTGCCCCTAGGTGTCAGTGTGTGTGTGACTGTATTTCTCTGTGTGTCTGCCCTGTAATGGGCTGGCAACCTGTCCAGGGTGTATCCTGCCTTCTGTCCAATGACCGCTCGGATAGGCTCCATCACCCCTCCGCGACCCAGAAGGATAAGCGGTTTAGAAAGTGTGTGTGTGTATGTGTTCATTCCAGCAAATAAGCAGTAATTGCCCATTACAATGTGCAGAAGTGTGTTTTCTGTAGAGGAGGATGTTTTAACTTATTTTCACTTAGAAAGTCACCAACACATCGTCGAAACTTCTGCAAACATCTGTTTTTACTGTGCGTATATATTTAACTGCATTCACATTTGTGTATGTGTAAACAACTGCACCATTAATCAAAAATTAATAATCACAATTGTAAACCCTGCAATTAGCTAATCATTGCAATTATGCACTCAGCAGTGGCGCTGAGCGGCGGTACTGTATGTCAATGTTGTAAGATGCCGTTACAAAAGCAGCTTTAAAAAGCAAAGAGCACTCGAAAAGCCCCAGACATACCAGAGGCATTCCCAAAGAGGGAACACAGGGAGCAGAAATCTTGACGGGCCTCATCCGCAGGTGCAGCGTGAAGTCAAGTCAAGTCAAGAGCACAAACACAAACACTCAGAGACAGTGGTTATCTTTAGGCCCCGGAGAGTGTTTATTCACAATCAGACATGCAGTGAAGGTGAAGGAAGGCGGGGGTGACTCTGTGTTAGTGGAGCTCGGGCTAGAAGAAAAGTCGTTTCCAGGCAGCTGGAGAAGGGAACAGGTGGGCAGGTGCACAGTGATTAGGGGAGTCGTCTCACGGTGCTCTCATCGGGGAATCTGAGGGAAAATAGAGAAGAGAGTCCTTTGTTGAGAGAGATTGCGAGAAGTTTGATTTGGGAGCCTCTCAGGGGCTCTCTGAGTCACTCCAGTCCCCCTCTAAACTGACTTTTATGCTCTGTTTGCTGGGGCTGGAACAGACAGAGTCTTGAACAAGCTGCCAGCCTTGTTTACTTTTAACCGTTTCAACCCTAAAACGTATTATTATTGAATCACTATTATAAAATATTTAGTAACTGCTGTTAAAATAATGATAAAGTTTATGTAAATTATGATTATTCAAACTCGAATAATCAAAATGTCATTGATTAAAATGGACCTTCTCGATGAATCAATAATTATTTGTTGCGAATTACTGATCTCACTTTGCTATGTTTACAGTACTGTTCAAAAGCCAGAGACCACATTTTGTTTGTTGAATTCCCAATCAAAAAAAAGAATGTTATTCATTTTCCATAACTAAATAAAATATCCATCTAATACAATATCCGTATAGCACCCTTTTTCCTTTGTCACTTATCTCCTTGGAAATATCTCCACAAAAATGACCAACTTGTACATAATGGCTGTTTTGAATGGACATTCTTTTGCACAGTTCTGTGTATTTAGCATTTTACATGCGTTTTTCTACTACACAGTATATATATTGACATGGAAATCTTTGAAGGTTATGACAGTGTGGAACCTGAAGTGAGAGCCCATATATTGGCCTTTAGATTTGAATGGGTTTAGCTGCTGTTTCCAGTTTAACTGGCTGAATGTGGTATGTGGCTGCTGGCCGTGGTCCTGAAACATTGCTGTACTCTATAGTTCAGTGGTGCTATACAGCATTCCTTTAAACTCATAAAGGCGTGGCTAATTAGCTGATGATGTTAAATTAAGCGGAATGCAGTGCTGTGGCCTGCCAGGTCTGGAGTCTGACATCACTACCATAGACAGTGGGTGAATGGTAGTGTTTGGTTTGGTTTGGTGGTGCTCCATGTTGGCCCAGTGTGACGATGCAACAAATCCAGGCTGAAGGGAACTGAACAGAGGCCATAGAAACTGAAGAGGGCACTGGTGTTGCTGTCAGGAGAGCTCAAGAGGCACTGAATGCAGAACTTGAAAGTGGATAGGCCACCCAAATTTGGTTGTGTGTGGTAATTGGTTATTTTAATTGGCCGTTGACTGAGGGCCAGATGTATGTCCCCAGTGTACCTGGACTTAACGTGTAATGACTAAGACTGCAGTTTATCATGCAAACTGCCCATAGCCCCACAGTAATGGCTATTTGTGAGGCGTAGAGTTTAGAAGGCAAAGTGAAACGATGGAGCCGTCAACATGTTCAAGAGAAAACATAAAATTAAGTGTAGTGATGAAGAGATACTGGCGTTAATAAATAAAGTTCCAGCAAAACTCTATAGGGGTGACAACAGTCTCGCCTAGCTAGTAGTTAACGAAAAGGGAAAAAGAGATATTTAAAACAGACATCAGTGATTTGGAGATGGATGGACTTCAGTCTGGTTTAGTCTGCAGTGAGAAACTGTCAAACAGTAAAAAGTTGCAAAGCTGAAGTCAGCTTCTTGTTCGCCAGCTTATTGTTCTAATTTTCTCGTTTTCACCTTAAATGGTGCAGTGGTTACATTTTGGCGCCTCAGGCACCATTTAAGAAGAGCAAGAAGCTGGCAAATGAAAAGCTGACTTTGGCCTCATAAAAAGTCAAACATTGAGAGACATTTTACATGAAGCTATTTTACTTTTGCGGAGAAGTTTCCTGCCAGAGACGTAAGAAAAGCGGCTATAGCTGAGCTAAAGCTTAGGGCGGAAGAAAGTGAGTCTGCATTTTCGTTAATATTATATTTTTTAACCTATACTAGGACATACTGAGACACATTTACAGCCAAGATGGTGAAATGGACATAAAATGTTGTGGCTCCCAAGGTGGTTTGATATTAGTTGAAAGGACAAAATGGCTCGTCTTAACATTCAGGTTGCTGACCCCTGATCTAACCTCTGTGTCTGTTGCCTTTGTAAAAAAAAAGCATGTTTTCTGAGACCTTAACACAAGCTTACACCTAGTTTTAAAATAATTGCAAATGAAAAGAAAAATGGCCATTATTAATTTCTCGAACTGCAGTAATGAGAGTCGGAAATGTAATCAGCTGCACATTTAATATCTTCACCCACTTTTTACACAATTATCCCACATTTTGCACAGCCCTCCCTCAAATTCATTTGCATGAGGAAGAGAAACACATTTTGTGATTCACCATTCACACCCAGCCCCGAAAACAGTGTGTTTAGGCTCATGTAGCAGTTTCATACAACATGCAGACAAAAACTGGTACAAAAGGCTCAAACCACTGAGCCCTTAGTGTATGGTCTGTGATAAAGGTGAAGGGCTGGCCAATGAGGTAATAACTGAGGTCTTCCAAGGACTACTTGATGGCAAGTGCTGCTCACTTGGCCACGGCATACTTTCTATGCATGATAGAGAGTATGCGATTAATGCAAATCAATGGTTCCCAGTCCTGGTTGTGGAGTACCCGACTCAAATGATGAATAGAATATGTAATAATGTTTGAACCAGGGCTAAGAACCATTAGTATAAATCACAGGTTCACACCCCTCGTCCTGGAGTCCTCCTGTCCTGCACAATTTTTGTGTTTTCTTGCATTAAAATACCAACTTTTCTTTCTTAAAATACCAACTTCGACTAAGGAAGGGCTTGTTAACCCTTGTCAAATTTGAGGGCTTGTTAACCCTTGTCAAATTTGCCCATCAAATTTTCTTTTTGAGCTGCCGCTCACGCAACGTCATTGGACAGCTGAGCGCGCTCGGAGGACAGCGCCAACCGCCAGATCTGTTACGTCAGCTAACAGACGCCTGCACTGACTAGCATCGCACTGAGTGAGTGATGGGGGGAGAAAGGCAGCCATCCCACCCACCCAGAGAGAGTGAGGCCAATTCTCTCGGACTCCCGGCTACGGATGGGTGTAGCATCACCAGGGATCGAACTCGCGATCTCCTTGTTGAAAACCTTGTATCTCCATTTTTGTCATTCTTCAGTTTTCGACATAATTTGAAAATGCCTGTTGTTCTTTACATTGTATGTAAATTTCATGACGAATTGACCAAAAGAAATGACCCAAAATGACTTGGAAAAAACTCTGGTTCCACTGACTTACATTAAAAGTAAAGCAGGTTTTTTCCTTCTCCTGTAAAGTTACCATTTTGGAGATACAAGGTTTTCTTCTGACAACAGCGATGTGTGTTCCATGTCCATTATGTGCGAAACTGACCAATGGACACTCACTGGACCAGTGGAAATCACTAAGGACTGACCCATCCAGTCAGAAACCCCTCATTCTTCATTCAGTTGACATCGGAGACATGTGAAATGGTGAGCAAAGGGTTTACAGCCACTGAAGTTGCTGCAGTGGTTTGGAAAGTAGCATTTTAAAAATAAAACATATGAGTATCATGTTATATGCAATATGCAAGTGCCTGTGTAAGGTAAGGTAAATTTAAGAAGATATGCAAAAATCAAGAAAATGCCCTTAGACCACATCATATCACTGTTTCTTGCAAATACCTTGGCTTTAAAAATACTTTTTGGTAACCAAACTACCATCGCAAGTCCCCTCTACACACACTGGGGCTGAATCTCAAATGGCTCCCAGCTCCCTACATAGTGCACTATGTAGGAATTTAAATACTGACTCCTGCATCCTCACAGTGTATAATATAGCTAAAAAAGTTATT